GTACTACAGTGGGTTTATACCAAGCAACTTATACTACCCAAGATCAGCTTAAGAGACAAGAAACATAGAACATGGGACATAGAACACAGGACATGGGTTTGAGGACATAGGGACAAGGGACACAGGGACATGGGACATGAGACACCAACAAACTACCTACCTTTGCTTGTATTTTGCAAGCGCTCTACCATCTGGAACCTGGTTAGAAGTCACGTATTCTTTAATTTAGCTTTACTTGGTTAATAGTAAACTGAATGGTTATAGCATATTAATGTATACTTTGTTATTGTGGGGTATTTTGTTAAATTATGCTAATTCATTCCTAATACAATACATCTTACATCTTCTGTTGTGTAATATTACGACTCCCCGGTGATAATTTACGTGCTGGTGTATTTTTTTATTTTTTGAAAAGTTGATACCAACGCTCGTATTGACCAATCGCAGGTAGTAGACTTGAGAATTTGTTTGCTATACAGCGAATGTTTGAAAACATAAGGTCAAATAGTTACAGAATATTCATAAATTCTGTAAGTTGAGTCCGCTATGGAGATATTTTTTTACATTTCATGAAAACTGATTACGAAGACAACAAAACTCCACTCTTTGAATTGTCGCCTTCCTCTAATGTCCCATCAATTAGTTGAGATGGTTTGACAGTCTCTACAGGATCCTCGTTTCCATATACTGTCGGTAATGTATCGGCCTGAAGATTTTCTAACAGCTGTCGAAGCTGCGTTATTTGCGCTTCCTTGGCTTTAGTATTCACAATATCCTTCACCTCTTTCAAAATATCTTGTTCAGCTTCCTGCTTGATAGCGTCATCAGCAACAAGTAGATCCAGCTGCTCCCGTAGAACAATCGTCAAACTTTCGCTGTCAACACTGCGCTCATGAAATTTTACCATTACGTAAGCCTGCAATTTCTTAGAAAAGCGACATAAGTGTGCAATCACGAAGGCAGTCCGCTCCAAAACGAACAGGCCTGCATCTAGTCGGCGCAAGTATCTACCCTCTTCGTCCTCTTCTCCATCCTCATTCTGAGTACTTCGCTCTACACGTTTGTGATATTTGACAAACAGATCCACCAATCGATCCATTTTTTCCATGTCGTTCTCGACAAATTTTGCGTGGAGACGTTCAAACCCATCAACTGGGGCATTCTCGCTCACCCATGCGCATAAGGATGCCACTATACTGATCGTGTTCTCTTCTTCTTTCGTCCTATCTCTCACTTTGCTTGCCTTTGTATTGTAACTTGCCTTATACTTACCATATCGTCCCATGAAAGCAGAAAACAGGCAACGCAGGCCGCCAATCTCGATTAAGCGTTCACAGTTGCGTGCATTGCCCATAAGTGTGTGGTCCATAGCCCGCAATGCACTACTAAAAATAAAGCGCTTTCGGTCCATCAAAAACCGGAGCAAAAGCTCAAGTCCTTCTAGGCGGCGAAACTGGTTTTGTGCTTCGGGTATTAGCAACACACTACAGAGCACATTGACCAAGTTGCTTGCAAATTCCTCTTCTTCTTCACTGCTTGGATCCTTTTTTCTATATGGAGCAAGTGCCTGAAGTAAGTCGTCCATCAAATTCACCTTTTTGTTCTTCTTCTCCAACTCTTCACTCGGCCAACCCTTCTCTATCCAGCTCACGAACGTTGCCCGCGACTCAGCCCCTGACTGCAATAGAATTGACAAAATTTCGCTTGCATATAATTTGTTTTCAGTAAACTTCATCGCCGGAGCCACTTGATTTAGCAAAAAGGGAAAGATTGACGTCTTCGCTATCTGAATACACACCTCCGGTTCCAAATCTGCCATGTTTTCCAAAATTTGAAACGAATGATAAATACCCGTCGTCTCCTCGTCCATTTGAGCTTCTTCCTTCCTCCGTAATGTAGCTTCTAATTGGTACAAGTTGGTTACCAGCAGTGGAACCACCTTTTCGTCCACCAAGTGCTTCACCAACATCCTCGCAGGCTCTAGTGAAGCAGCAGCATCATCCACGTCCGTAAATTCGGCCAGCAAAGCCAAAACAGCTAATCGAATATCAAAGTTATCATGAGTAAGCAGTCCTAAAAGCACGCGTGGCACCTGTAGTTCCATCATGACAGAAAAGACCTCTGGCTTTGCAGCCACTTGCTTCCATCGCGTGAGTTCGGAATCTAATGCCAGCTCTGAATCAAGAAACTTAGTTGGTTCATCCGCGTGTTTTTCACGAGCAAGCGCATTGCGACGTATGCATTTCGTCAATGAATTTGTCATGGATTTAAGTGCACGGGCGTCTATTGCGTCGCCCTCCTGCGCCTCGGCACCATCCACAATCGCTTTTATTTGTGCAGCATTAGAAACAGATAAACGAGTTCGTTTTACAGCAGGTGAAGGCAATGTCGAGGATAGTGAACGCTTAGGTGCGGCCTCTGCAGACAGCACTCGCTCGAAATGTTCTTCCATGGATGATAACTTATATCTCTAATATTTCGAAAAGAGTGTCAATATTTGGTGTATCGGTATTAATACTTTCATATTTTTATCTCAAATTTCATTTTTTTTGACAGAATAGTCACTCATTTTGCTGTACCGTTTTTGTGACTACCCCCCTCGCGTGGCTAAAACATCCTACCGACGAAAACCAAGGTCACGATGCAGGTGAAGTACCCGATCATGGGATTGTCGTACGCACGCGGCTTTTTCGCCATCTGCGGCGGCGGCGGATCACTCAAATCCGGTATTAAAAACACTGTCGTAAGTTTCTGCATCAAGCCCTTCAAGTAACTTAAATATATTATCTTACCATCACTCTGCAGGACATTTATCGTCTCTCAGACACGGATCCAACAGGCTTCAGCAAAGAAATCACAGCCGATACGGGTCTAGAATTGGCTTCTGGTGTAGCCTTTTCTCATGATGGCCAGCTTGTTGCCGTATCTGTTAGCGCTAGCTGCTGGGTCTATACATTGAACGTGAAGGAAAAGACTATCACTCTGCTAGTCAAATTCCGCACGGACTTTCACAATCAGGAAAGCTCACAATCTTGCGCCCGCTTCGTCGGCAATTGTACCATCTTAACTGGCGGAGAAGATGGAGTGGTGCGCATTTGGCGCCTGAGTCGAGACCCATCTAAGCTTGAGAAGGCAGTGGGTACAGCCAAAGCTTTGGCAGTAGTAGAGGAGAAAGATCCTGATGCCAGTGTGGTGGCCGTGGAACAACCTAAGCTTGGAGACTGTGTCATTAGTGGTAATAGCATGATCACCCTGACGAGGGAGTATCGGGGACATACTAAGAGGATTCGAGACATTGATGTTGATCTTTCTCATCGTAACCTTGTCGCTTCTAGTTCAGAAGACCAATCGTGCCATTTGTGGAGACTAAATGAAGTGACGCCGATCTGCAGGTTTTCTAAAGACGACGCATTGGATATTGCTCTCCAAAAACTACCAACGAAGCCTATTGTCGGACCACGGAAGCATGTATTCCGATGTGTGCGCTTTTCAAATAGTGGACGTCGACTCTTTACGATATTAACTCCCGCGCGTGGTGATTCGATTTTGGTCAAGTGGAAACCTGAGGTCATTGCACAGGAAAATGAGGAGCAGTGGTCTTGGGTCGTTGAACAAATCGCTATTGCGGGAGAAAGACCCGTGGCAAGTCTTTGTGTAAGTCAGGATGACCGTTTCGTATGTGTGGCTGCAGTCACGGGTGATATGAAGGTTTTTTTGGCGTCCACATTGAAGCAATACACAATCAATTCGACTGGCCAGCATTCGTTTGCAATCACTGGTATGAGCTTTGCGCTGTCTGCTGACAAGAATGCTCCTTATTTTTGCCTGGTTAGCGGGGGCGCGGACAAAAATCTTCTTCGACATGAGGTTCCGATGGAAGGTGGTATCTTGAGATCGAGAAGAGAAATTATTGTTACGGGCTTAACAACCGTCATGAGTACCGCTTTTGGTCTCGGGCTCAACTTTATTATGGCCACGATCCTGCTATTTATTCTCTTGCTATTTATTCACGCGCAAACAGCTATGTTCTCGAATGGTCCATTAACAGGCTTTGAGGTGAGTTACAAAGGCGATGTTCGATGACGATGACAGTCGGGATTTTGACTGGATTGGTTTTGTGGTGTGCTACATAGGATCTGGCATCACTCCGCTTTGAATCGCCAGATGGTCTGGCAACTCTTTTTGCAGTCGTGGCCAGCTGTGCTATCATTTGGCTTATAGCTGCGCACAGCTCAGTAACGAGTCGATTGTTTTGGAACGGTTTTCTGTGTCTGCTGTCAGCTTTTATAGCCTTCCTGGTGGCCATCTCATCAGATCTTGAAGTGCATTGGCAAACCGGCGATGCCGCAGTTGATGAGCTTCTTGGTACGCTAATTTCTGCATTTTTTCTGGCATTCTTCGTATTAATATTTGTGATCGTTGCTACTGTGTAGAATACAAGATTGCAATTCTATTTGGCGCATGTTGTATCATCTTTCTTTTCTTCCATTCGGCATTAGTCATGATAATGTGAGCCCGCAACAAATAGCTCGCTACAAGACACTTGAACACATGCAAGTTATCATAACTCCATGTTCACAATATTATTTCAATGTCAGCAACATAAAAAGAAGTCTCTCTTCAAATTTCACAAAAGAAAGCTAGACACAGAATTATAGATTCTAATTTCAAACCTTTAAAAAAGAAACAGAGTACTTTTTAGAACGTCGAGTCGTGTAAGCCAGGTTCTATTCATTACACTCTAACCCAGCCCGGGTATTGATACCTGGACCTCCCTGTTCTGGAGTAAACATCATTCCAGACGAATAGGATTAGTT